TAATAATAGCAATATTCATCCTGCCTGCTGACTTTTTCTATCTAGTTGTCCTTGGGGCCCACATGCAGCCTGCAGCAAGCTCATCAGCTAGACAGTCTGGCTCCACTAAACATTTGCTAATACAACAGATCTCTAATCAATATCTAACTAAGAAATTACATAACAGCGCTATACAAATAAAATTTGATTTGATTTGATTTAACATAATTGCACATTCATTGCTGACTGTTGCACATACAGCTTTCATTGTAGCATACTCATTATTATATTCTTATATTTTTTATTATATTTCTTTTCACTTGCTGTTTTTAAAGTGCCTTTATATTGTATCATTATTTCTCTATTTTATATCAGACCTTATATTGTTTGGCATTCATTGTGTACGGCAAAGTAAGAATTTCACTGGGAAGGGAAACATGTTTCCTTACTATGCATGTGACAATAAACACTTTGACTTGACTGTGAAATGCCATACTAGTGATGACCGAATTAACTAAGTTCCCGCGTTTATTGTGAAGGTACGGTGATAGGATTTTCCGGTACTTTCCTGGTCTTCTGCGAACAAGTTGACGCAGGTTTGAAGAGCCCGGAGTATCCACTCCTCCAGCAGCCCCAGCCGAGCGCCACATAGCCTCGGCGGCGTCAGCCTGGCTGGAACCGCAGCGCCTGCATACGAGATCCCTCCGCCTTCCCCTCCTGGAAGTTTCCCAGGGTTTCAGATCCAGACCTCGCAGCAGCGTGCGTGCGTGTGCGTGCGCACGCCACCTGAGCCATGGCCCGTGTCCCTGTCAGGTATTTTGGGCTCGAACTAATAGAGGCCAAGAAGAAAAACATTCCCACCTGTTCCCTTTTCCCAGACTATTCTGCATTGAATGGATGACAGCAGCTGCCTTATGTTCTTGTAGTGTTTTACAGTGTAGTTGTGTTGGTCCCATTCATAAAGTTAAACGTCGGCGACAGGTCGGTAACCTCTCTGCATCCTATTACTTTAAATATCAGGTTATTTTTTCCATTTAAACATATATAAATTGGTAGGCTACATAATATTAATAGTGATTTAGGCTGCAGTTGTCAGTGCTGTGATGATGGAAGTGGCATACACTGTTATACTGTTTCCTTTACAGGTGGCAACAGTTTAATTTCACCAATGGTGTGTAGCCTATTATTATTATTATTATTATTATTATTATCCAATTTAGCGGTTTTAAAGGCCACAGTAATTCCATCTAGGACGTAGTAAAATCTGTCATTAAGCACTTATTTAGGCTTCATTGTAGGCTACATGCGCTCACATGCACAGACACTGCACCTGCAGCCTAAAAATGTAAAAGATACAGGGTCGCCTGAGGGAGAGACTATGTCCTCCACGAATTCACTCGTGTTATGAAATCAAGCTTATTTTCTTCTTTAAAAAAATCAAAGTTGTTTCATTATCTACTGTTTGGATCCATAGAGACGGTTTGCTCACTGCGGATGGATACGATCCTTTATTGGGTGTGCCGTGACTGGTCCGGTTAATGACGCAAGCCCGGCTGGCGACAGTGAGTCTACAAGTTTGACATTTTCAGTTTACAACAACTGCTACGGAACATAACAATACTCCTGACACAAAGTGAAACCACTGCGGGGATTTTGTCTGAAACCGTATGATTCTCCCCCCAGTCACCAGGTGGATCATCAGCAGACACCAGAATAAGCTGCCGGTGCGCCACATCTGATGGTTTAATAAAGGCAGTGACTTCCAAAGTCTGGTCCGGGAAAGCCGCCAGGTCCCAGGGAAAGTGATTAATAGCCAACTGTCGAAGACGCGTTTGTTGGCTCAGCTCTCGTGTTGTCGACCAGCTCACCTGTGTCTGTTATTAAAACTAGGCAGTTCCGTTTTTATACGGTGAGGCTATGTATTTTAGCATGTACAAGTTAAAATAAAACCCAGTTCCTGTAGTGAAACGGTTGGAATCAGACCTAGATAAACATCCATTCCTAATGTAATTTTAATTCGTTACATTTTTACTGAAGCAGATAAGTTACAGTCAAGTTATGACTTATGCCTCTGTACCATGTAAGCAGACAGGCAGGGTACAAACAGGATGTGCTCCCGGGGGCTCCAGGAGGCCCCTGAGACATCTGCATCAAGCGCCTGGACCTCGGGCTTGCATAATAAAACAGCACAAGAAAGAACATCCTACACTCAGATCACAAAAACGCTTTCTGGACACTTTTTAAAGATGTTCTAACAAGGTTCAGGATGCAGGCAAAGGGATGACAGGCGACAAATAATGCCGAAATCCTGGGTTTCCTGCTGCCTTTCATGTGGAGGAAAGGACAAACTCATTATATGACAGCCCCCTACCCCACATAAAATTTATCCCAGCTAATCCCAGCTAATTCATTTCAGGAGTTGAGATGTTAAATCTAATTTTACACCAAATGAACTAAGCTGTAAGTGGAGTCAGAACCAGCAGATTTCAGGTAATAACACTTAACATCTATTTCCCAACCCCAATATTCTCCTATGCCCAATGAGAGACCCTGCAGTGTCAGAACCAGTGACCTAGGATGAAAACAGTCTTGCATTGTCACAATGTGAACCCCTGTGTGTTAATATTTTGCTTTGCGTATAACTGCACAGAGACTGGTTCAGAACACAACCTACCAAAGTGCTGAACACTCTTTGGATCAGGCTTGATCCTAATACAAATTTGAGTTCCATGACAACTGAATGGCTCAGTCTCTCCTTTTTCAAAATATGCAACAGCGAAATCTCCTTTAGCGTCAAGATCAGATCTTCTCTAACTCAGCTCTGACTGGTCCAAAACTCTGCAACGGTGCTTTTAACAAACACAAAATGTCAATCACACAGTATACAAGTCTAAGCTAGTTTCCATTTGACACTTGTCACATTATAATTGGTAAAAATGACACTGAAGATTTTACATGCCATCATCTGTACTCTAGGGCTATGTCGGTAGGAGCCTCAGATTTTCTGGCTGTTCCCAGATCGAGTGGAAAACTAGATAACAAATTAAGAGTAATTTTTACAAATCTCTACTGTAAACACCAGGGCTCAACTAAAGATTGTTTTCATTAAGGACTCATCTGACAATACATTTCTTAATTGTTTTTCCTGTAATGATAATTAGCAATAATGATTATCAAACCTTACATCAGACTTTTTAATTATTTTGGTTCAGGTCATTCGGGCCATCAGCCTACACCCATGTTGCCTCAAAAGTTCAGTCTCTCCCCCCCTTTGAAAATCAGCATACAAGCAATCAACCTGACAGAATCATCACATTTCCTAAAAGTCTTTCTTCCTTACCAATCATTGGCAAAAACCAAAAAAACCAAAAACAATATTATGTAACTTAGAACAGGGATCAGTCATACAGACACTGTCAGCTGTAGCCACAAGGGTGTGTTTAACAGTGGCTTTCATAATATGCCGATAAAAAAGCCCGGACTATTAGGTACTCACAACTGTGTCATTACTTCACATCCAATGACATCTGGAATGAAAAAGGATGTGATATAGTGAACTTTGTTCTTTGTTGTTGATTGAATGATGGACACAGCTGTTGTCCCACCTCATCCTAGGAGTTGGTGGCCCTACCATAGGCTGTCTCTATGATTCCAGGGCTTGTCTGATTGGCTAGTCTGTCTTTTGTGGTGACTGCAGTTTCCAGGCTCCAGTGATGTAGCGCAGGCGAATGAAAACCACGTCTCGTCCCATCTGCAGCCAGCTCCAAAACGGGACCAGTTTGGACCCTGGCAGAGCAAACGCACATGCATTTATTAAACATATAATGGAGTCTGCTGACATTTAATAGGCCATTCAATAAGTCCATAAGCAAAGACTACATGGGCTTAGGGAAGTAGCTAAATTGGTACTTTCTCAAAATCAACTGGACATGGAAAACAAAAGTGACAAGGCTAAAAGAACAAAATCCTAGAAGAGAATAAAACCTATAAAAATGTGGGCAGAAACACCTCCAAAGTGCAATTAACAAAATGTTAAATAAAGAATAACTAGTGTGAATAAATATTAAATCAGCCAGACACATCTAACAGAGATATTTATAAAACAACAAATACATGGCACAGTGGAAGGACACACATCCTCATGTATACATGAAAAACCTGCCTTCTATTTCAGTCCAGTTGACCGCCACCTCTGCTATGGGGATTTTAAAACACTGGGCAATATACAGGAGCTCCACATCAAATGCCCTGTGAGAACAAAGATAAAAGTGCACAGATGTCTAAATGCATGTTTTACTGCAGCATGTTTTAATGTATTACTAAGTCTGTGGGTTGCTTTTGTTTTATTTATTACTCTATACATAACCACTGTGTGTGTGTATTTGCTATCAGTGTCTTAGTCACTGCCAATGACCAGGCTACGGCCTGCTGCTGTCAGTGCAGATATTAAAGAATGTTGTTTTGTTAATGTCACAAAACAACCCACAGCCATAACACATAAAACCCCCTGCTACACATCTAGCTTATCATGTTATGTTCATATATCATGTTACATATTCACTCAGCTACAGTGTTCAGGCAGTAATGAACCTGTTTCTCATTTTAGCACCATGTGGAAGTTTCTGGTTATAAAATATACCAACATACATTATAACAAAAATGTTGTCTTAAAGGAATACGGTGGTTCCGTAAAATAATGAGAAGGTTTTGTGATGTGAACAGATAATGTGATTTTTTATTTTATTTTATTTATACAGTGAACAGGCTTCTTGTAAAAGTGGAAAACACAATAACATACTATCTATTGTGAAAAGGATCTTGTGGACACAAGAAGATTGTGGCAGCGGCAACATACTACCACACCAAACAACCGTTAAAGTGCCACAATTTCACAAGGTGTACTTGGTGACATGCGAGTCCTTACCATCGCTCTACGTGGAGTGAAGAGAAAGTCTTAAGTGCAGCCTCACGTGTGAAAAGCTTGAAGCCGCACTGCGTGTCCCTGATCCCTCTCACACAAAGGAACCACACCAGGAAGTGAAAGCCATACATAAGGAAAGTACGAAACACAGATCGCTGGGACAGAGACACAGCAGTGGTTACTTAATCGTTAGATGGGTGTAGACAACAATACTCTGGACAAAAGAGACAGATGATTACCTGAGCTACAGACTCTTTCTCTAGGTGAGCTCTGGAACCACAGGAAATTGCCATGTTATCCTAAGGGTACAGAAGGGATTTATAGAAGGGCCACACAATAACTTCTATTGACACACGTGAGACAGAACAACAAAAAAAAACTGAACACCGCCACACCGGTTTAGGGCTGAGGTCATTAAGTCCAGCCTCCACTTTCTCAAAGTCAGAAAACTTTGTGGCTCCATCAGCATCTGCCATGAGAATAACTCTCCCTCTGGAGCTTAGGGTTCCCTTTAAGGGAGACAGAAAAAAGCATGTAAAATCAGCAGGACTTAAACTCCTTAAAGTACTGCATTAGTGCCGCATTCAGACATCCTGTAGTTTGACAGTCTCACCATCCGTACAGCTCCTCCTTTCCCCCTGTTCTTCACCAGGGTCAGGACCCGGACTTTATCTGCACCGTACTTCTTAGTATATCGCAAAGCAACCTGGCAGGACATCACAACAGCATTGACTCACAAAAGTCACCAGCTGCGCAATACTAAAGTTTTTGGGAAGATACTCACAAAGAAGGTTAAACTTATTACCTCTGTGGTTTTGTCTTTGCTGCCATCGTCAACGACAATGACCTCATAGGTAAAGGATGGGTTTTGTTTCTGCAGTAAGGAAACAACAGGGGGGATTTTTTCCACATCAAGCACTTTTTAAGTTGAATGCTGCCATCTACTGTTCCCTTATAGCCAATCCAGGAATAAGATTTTTCTGAGTTTTTCCCTTTCAGAGAATGTTGAAACTATGTCTATTTGTGGTTAATTAAATAAGCCAACTTTTAGATTCGTTTAACTGTGTCCCTTTTATCAATCTACAAGAAAGTTATTATTTAATGTAACACTGCCCATATGAGGCTGAGCACTTACCTGTCTGTTTTCCAAGTACTCCATAGCCTCATCCAACATCACAGGCACTGTAAAGACATACAGCCTATAACCTACTGCAGGTGAACAGTGAACTACCAGCCTGCATGGTGTACAATTCATCACTCAGCACAAGTAAATTGGCCATGTAAGGGCATTAAACTGTTCATGAGGAATTTTAAAGCAGCAAACAAACACAAACTGATAATACAGTATATCCTGTGTCCAATACATTCTGCATGTATCATGCAAATGTGCAGTGTAGGTACCCAGCAGGGTAAACATTAGTTTTCACAGTGTGCTATATCTGCATTCAAGTCAAATGCTGCTTACAGTAACCCCAGCACAATCACTCACTTCGGTGCTCCTCGTTGTAGGCTGGGATCACAACAGAGAGCTCCCTGGAATGAGGATCATGCAGGCTGGGGAAGAGCTTCTTCTCTCCTGTGGTGGTGAGGAAATATTTCTCCTTCTCGTGGCATGTCAGGTTCACCATCCCAGCAGTGGCATGTGCTATTACAAGCATCTGAAAATAGAAAAATAGGAGTGCAGCATAAATCCAATCTCTCCTTTAATTGGAGCATTTGATGCAGGGACATGTTGAGTTTTGCTCCTTGTGTCAATGGTTTGAATGTCTCTTTTATCATAGCCCCCTCTAGTGGCCTAGTGGGTCCTCGCATGGATGTACAGCTTGCATTTAATATAGGTGTGTGGAATCATTAGTTAGTGGGCTGAGTTGAGGGGCAAGTGTGTTGAGATGCACTGATGTATTTTTAATGTATTAGCCCATTTTTATTAAAGGCATTTTATTATCTACCATCGACTTTGAGTGTCTTTACTGGACTGATTTGTGCCATGTCCCAACCATATATATATATGTATATATATACACACACACACACACATACATACATACATACATACATACATACATACATATACACACACACACATACATATATTACTTCCCCTTCAAGAGCACCAGTGGCACTGCCATACATACACACACACACACACACATATTACTTCCCCTTCAAGAGCACCAGTGGCAGTGCCACTTCTTTCATATTATTGGTTTATTCGTGTTTTAAAAAGATGAATGAAAAGCAAGTGTCATTAAATTAAGGGAAATTGTGAGATAAACTACAAGTTCACAGCTTGCCTGATCATAATGGACTGCCCAAGAACTTCTTACACGGAAAAGGCATACAAAGAACCCTTTCTTCAACATTACAGATACAAATCAGTAAGACAAAGTATAACAAATATCTGCCAGCACAATATTAACTTAATAACTACTTACCACAATCAACCCTAGAGCTGCCAATGCGACCAAAGCTTGAAAAATTTCACAGATAAAATCCATTTTCCATTAATCACCCTGCAGCCACTGACGGACCACCAAAGTATCTAGCTAAAAGACTAGCTCGCCTTCTCCTCAATTTTGCCTCGTGTCTTCTAGCCAGGACTCTGATTTCCCGGGATATACAAGAAAATACAAGCTTAGAAGACTGCACAGAAGAAGAAAACAATAAATTATAACACCTAACCGTCCATTACTCTACAGGAAATGAACACAACCAATCACTACTAAACACAACGGCAACGTGGACGTTTCCTCGATACGTCATCAGTTTGAGCCAACAGAGCACCGAGCAGCCCAGTGGCAGCCTGCAGCGACGCCTACTGGACAATGGTGGGAATAACAACATGACACGGGGGATACTGCTGGGTTTTGTGAGGAGGGGAAGCGCTTGTCTGATGATATTGAGTTGATGTCCACAAGCCACAGTCACCGCTTTAATATGGACTGTTTCTTAATTGAAAGTAGTTCCAGTGAAAGCTGTAGATGTGTTCTGTGAATGTGGATTGTTCAGAATAACAATGACGCTGCTTCATGAAAGAGATGTTGCTGTTGAATTTGTCATTTTAAATGCTGTGCAAAAACTAAATTCAGCTCACCTTTGTGAAGGAGATTTATCTTTGAGGCAACTACAGTAGCCATAGAAAATGTGTTGTCATTATTAGACCTACTATCTGTTATCTTACTGGATATTGTTTAAGTGATTAGCATAAGCATAAACTGTATTGCCAAGTATTTAAAAAAAAAATACAAGGAATTTGACTCCAGCTCAATGGTCCCCGATATGCACAACATAAAAACAGAATAAATACATACAAAAATATATATACAAGTTATACAAGAAATTAGTTATCATTTGCATACTTGCAGATGCCACTGCGGTTATCAGGTAGTCAAAGGGAGAATAAACAAAAATTTACATTTTAATTGTGTTTCTCTCTTTGTTTAGAGCTTTAAAGTAATCTCTCACCTCTTTCTTGATCCGGTGTATCCTGTCAGACTTTGTACATTTATGTATACTGCTCAAAAAAATAATGGGAACACAACATAAGACATCCTAGATCTGAATGAATGAAATATTCTTATTAAATACCTTGTTCATTACATAGTTGAATGTCTTATTTTCCCTTGTGTTCCCTTTATTTTTTTTTAGCAGTGTATAAAACAAATTTCATAAAAATAATATATCTTCTCTGTCATGGAATGTGCTCATGTTGTAATATTAATATTCAGTAAGGGGAACAATTACGTTTGCAAATAAGAATCCAATGTCCTGGTGGAAATTAGAAAAATTAAGACATCGCATTTTGTCTCTGGCGTGCTTTCTCATAACGGCTACCGTAGTACGTCCACCAAATTCACGTGGTTAATCAAAACATCATGGCGGCTGGTTTCAAGTAAGATTGTAGAGATGATATATATTCACCGAAACAAAAACGTTTTGTTATATCATCAGTCCTGAACATGCGCATGGGAAAACTTTAACAGCGCATTTAATTATTCGTATAACGTTAAACGATTTATGAATTAACGTTACGGTCACCACAGATGTATGTATTTATGACTATTGCAGTCTCTGTAATCCAATAACAAGTTTCTTACCTTTC